GGAGGGACTGAGGTGGTGATAGGTAGCAGCTGTTTGTTTGTGTGTGTAGGAGAGAGAGAGAGGGGGAAAGAAATGAGAACTTGCTCAAACAAGATTTTGTTTGGAATACATTAGCAGCGGTTTACAGCTCCCCATCCTTTCAATCTGTGTTTATCACATGGGTTTGTATTCGCCGTCACGGTCCGGTTTGATAAATCATAACGTCGTCGCTGTTCCTGGGAAGACTTATGTTGCTGGTTAGAGAAAGGCAGGAAAGATTGATGTTGTGATCTTCCTCTCAAATTGAGGGCCGAAAAAGCTTTATGCGCCAAACGTTGTTAGGAAAGCCTGGGTTGATGATGTCACGAAAGAAGCAGGCAGGACAACACACACACACACAAACACGAACAGGACGTTTGATCACGGCGAAAAATCTGATCCCTTAAACTGATACTGTCGTGCATTCCTCTCCCACATTCCAGGGTCAAGACGATGTCAAGACTGTGTGTGTGTGCTTTCCATTAAACATGACACAGAAGAAGACACAGAGAGGCCCACTCTATCTCATCGTGCTCGTCTCTTTAAAACATCAAAAGAGCTTGGAGGTTAAAGTTGAACTTACCACCCCACCCTAACACACACACACACAACCCACACACACAGAATGCTGACTTTAGAGGGAGTTATGCTGTAGCAGTGGAGCTCAGCTTTGAGGAATTCACCTTTCCTGAGCACGTGCACACACACACACACGCCATTACACACCAACTTGTAAAGCCAAACTTGAATTTTCTGCCATCGCCTGTATATATTCAGCCAAATCAAAATGATGAGAAAATGTAACAAAATAGTTAATAAAAATGAAACGGTAGCATCATAAAGCCAAGAATGCATCAAACAAAAGCACCTTGGGCTCCATTGTAGAGGGGCTGAATAACATGAAAACTATCCGATTTGAAACGTATCTCAACTTCTTTTTTTTTTTTTTTATCTTTTTTTTAAAACAAAAAGAATCTCACAAACTTTCCGGATCCTCTCAGGTTCAGCGTGTGTGAAAGATTGACAACACCAAATTGAAAAAAAAACACATGTCGTAAACACGTTTGGTTAAAACAAGATCTTCCTCTTCGCCATTTTTACACCACTTTTATGTTATTAGGACTTGAGATGTGTGTGTGTGTGTGTGTGTGTGTGTGTGAGTCAACGCACACAGTTTGACCTGAGAGACTTGTTTGATGTGTGTTACTAACAGAGAATGAAACTGTTCCCTTTTGTGAGGCAGAAAGAAAAGGACAGAGGATCGGGTTGCCTCCTACACGCCATGTCCTCTCTGTGGAACTAATGTCATTTTGTGGCAAACACACAGGCGTGACCGCGCCAGTTTGTGCACGTCAGTGGACGATGGCGAGTGTGTGCTTATGTGCCACCTGTGCATGACTTATAACTAACTTCTGACTGAGTGAGGGTGAAGTCTTCATGGTTTGATGAGTCAGTGGTCAGTGCACAGCAGGAATAAATAGACAAAGGGAAGAAGGAAACACTATTATAATGGGAGGATACTTTATAAACACGATGTCAAGTTGTATCAAAATGAACAAAAGACTAAAAAAGGCAGACATTTATGTAAAACTTAAAACAAGTGTGTTATCACCTCCTGGAAAATAATAAGTGATGTCTGTTTTAATCAGTAACAGAAGCCTCAGAGAGCCGTGACGCTGTCAGAAAGCCACATCATCATATTCTTGGTGATGTTCTGAAAACGTTAAGGTCCAGTCCACCAGCGTCCCTTTCTTCAACAAGAACCATCTTGAGCCCCACTTTTTTCTTTTTTTTTTTACCTGCTACTGTTGCTCCAATCACACGAGGGATCACTTGAAACTTCTAATGCAGAGGGGGCTGATATACTAATGGCTACCGCAGCACATCTGAAGCCCTCAAACAAAGAATCAGGCGAGCCGTTTGAAGATTTCAGACGAGTGATGTTTTCAGATCTCATTAACTAAAGGCTGTTTGAGTGTTGTGTGGATAATTAGAGACGGGAGAGGCTGTGTATTTTCAGGGGTTGTATAACAACATTCCCCATTAACACCAGACACAGAAGAAATCCCAAAGCAGCCAGAAGATGCATCTGGATTTTGTCTGGGTTAGAGGGCTGCTAAAGCTTAAGCGCAGGTGATAATCTAAACTTGGATTCTAAAAACTACTTTTTTGCATGTTTTTTTGGGGGGTGGGGGAAGAGGTGCTCAGCAAGTTAAATCTTCTAAAACCTTTCATCTGGCATTAAAGTCTAAATAAAGCTATTAAAACTATATCAAAGCCCTGGTGAGCAAGTTGGCAAAAAGTTTCAAAATTCTGCTTTTCCGCCTCGTTTGTGTTAATCTTGGCACATCTTGATGCATCCTCAAACTAAAGTTAATGGCAGGTGTAAATTGGATTATCCATGTTCCAAGGAGCACGGATTAACATTCAAATAATATAAATTCCCTAAACTGAGGCTAATCCACTCTCCTCTGGATTCCAGCTCATGCTGTTATGAACATGTGGTCTGCGCAACAGCAGACTGAGGCACCAGGAAGCCACAAATCCCAGCCAATTTAGCCCCCTTTATCCAAACATCTCTGCGCCGCGCTGGATTGATGACCCATGTAGTTGGTCACCATCGGAGTTCTGCAAAACAGCTCATTTACATAATCGCATCATAAATACAGAGAATTCATTTAATCATCTCCTCTGTTCTGACGCTCAGGGCTAAAGAGTGTTGATATGATAAGACAGCAAGTTATTAAGGAGGAAGAGGGAGGCAGGGAGGATGGGAGAAGGAGAGAAAGCAAAGGGATCAGCAAGTGAGTGAGTGAGCTTGTCCTGATTTAAGCTGCCGCTTGGGGCCAAATGAAAATTAATTAATTTCTGTGAAGAATCAATTTCTCAGAATGACAGTGTCAGATTCAATGTGTGCATGAAGTGCGAGCGTCTCGGAGACAAAGCGAGTGTGAGCGTGTGCACTGCAAGTGTGAGACAGAGATCATAGCCAATGATAATATGACAAACTTTTGAGAGGGTTTTTTTTTTTTGAGGATTACTGAAATTCATTATCGTCAACATCACAAACGTTATCATCCATTAAAACGATAATTGGTTACAGGCCTCGCAGCAAAAGTGTGGCTAGTAAAACTGGGTTAACAGGACGTACAGTGATCAAATTGACTTCAGATACAACTATTTAAGTCATTTAAGCATTCAGTTGCTCCTTTTTTTTTCCCCCAGGGCATTTACTTTTAATTTAGTGGCTGTAAAATATTAGTACAACAAAAGCAAAAAAAAAAAAAAAACTTTTTTTTTTTTTTCTGTACAAATGCTGATAATAAAGCAGAAAGTAGAGACTTGGAACTTCTGATGTAAAATAAAAACGCATTAAAGTGAAGCACAAATGTCAACAATGCTGCTTTTAAATTTCAACTCCATCTGCTGCACCTGCCAGTACCCCTCCCTCCATGATCAACCCCCCCCCCCACCCTCCTGCACCTGACTCACCTGGCGTTGGTGCAGTCGGTGTAGAGCGTCTCGAAGTCCTGCCGGGAGATGAGTTTGCACCGGTTCACCCCAGGCTGGATGGCCCCAAGCCCCCGCAGGACTCGGACCTGCTCCACGTTGCACACCACCGGGCTGATGTCCAGCCGCTTCAGCTTGGTGTATACGGTGTGGAGCCCGCCGACCAGGTGTTTGAGAAACACGTCGAAAGCCTGGGGCAAGCAGATGAGCTCCGCGCCCTTCACCGTGAACGAGGCCAGCTTGGCCCCCTTCACCTCCACCAGCTTGCACTCGTTGTTCTGCGGCGTGCTCTCCACGGGCGACGCGGTGGCGTACACGGGCTTGGCGGCGGCCCCGCTCTTTAACGCGGTCCCGTTGGACAGCAGGAGCTCCGCCCGGAACTGGTGAAGCAGCGCCGGGTGAGCCACCGGTGGAGCCGGGGAGGAAGCGGCGGAGGTGGCCGCGGGAGGCGGGGAGTTGGTGGCCGGCGAGACGGAACTCGGCGCCGGGTGGTGACCGAGCGGAGCCGCGGGGAGCAGAGCCGGAGCGGCGGGAGTCGCCATGGTCGTCATGGAGCGAGATTAAGTGCGCAAAAGTAAACTTAAAAAAAAAAAAAGTCAAACTCGATTTAGGAAAGTAACTTCGGCGAGCGCACGCGGTGGCTTCGGCGGAGTGGAGCGCGCATTGGGCGTCTGGAAGAGGAGAGAGAGAGAGGGGATAAAAGAAGAGGAGGAGAGGAGACAGGGTCCGCGTGGGTGAGAGCAGATCACATTATTGAATGAGAACGAGCGGAGGCTTGTCTCACCGTGGAGATGCTCCTGTCACATTATCATAAAGAGGAGGAGCCGGGGCTTATTCTTAGACAGTGATGGCGAGGAGGACTCAGGAGAGGAGGAGGAGAGCAAAGATTAGCCTACATAAACTTTGGATCAGCTTATTTATGAGCGCTGGAAACAAATCTTCACAATAATACCTCTGATGAGACCTGACATGTTTGTGCCACGCAATTTAGTGGGGAGTTCATTAGATGTAGCTCCATGTTTCGTAAAGATTAACAAATGTATTAAAAGGTACACCTTGCAAACAATTCACCATAAAATTCTGAATCATATGTTGCATTTTTAAAAGGTTCACTCCACTAGTTTCACAGATATATTGATATGCAATTCTGAAATGCAGGTCTGCACTCAGTGTAAACACTTTATTCAACAAATCTGAGCATATGCAACAAAGTTGTTGAACTCCATTGACGTCACCTCTTTTGTAAATTTATTTTCAGTCACTTTAGCTCATTTTGTAGGTAATCAGACCATGTAGATGGAATCCATTTACAAATTTTACTTATAAGTTTTTAATTTAAGGACACATTAACTATCAATATGAGGGGGAAAAAACTGCAGATTTTGTTTCTTGCTTTATTGATATTTTTTTGGCAATGGGATTATTTTAAGTAAGATTTTTTTTGAGGATCCATGGCACATTTTTTTTCTATGTTTACACAATAAAATATAATTAGAATATTAAAATACTGATTATTGAGCAGAACTTGTTCATCACAGGATGAAATATGCAAGAGACTTAGCTGTTTTTCATCCAAGACATAAACCCAACTCAATTTGTAAAGGAATGCATACTGGTTTCCAATTAGTGCTTGACCTTTATGTGATTTGAGTGTTATTAATAAAAGCTTGCAGAAAAAAAAAATCAGGCTCTGTATCATTTTATTGCAAGCAAGAATACTAATAATGAATTGAAGGTCCAGCATTTCATGAAAAAGTGCATTCGGCCCCTCGTTTTTCACACAAGAATTTTAGACTTGATCATCTTTTGTTGTAAAATTAAAGCAAAGTTATGCACAATCATTATTGTGAGATGTCATGCACAAAGTTGGTGTGAATGTCTCCGCTACAGTATACAAAATTTGAGCGCAATATCTGTAAAACCGATTGAGTTGTAGCTATTTTTACGTTGGCCTATATAGATTAACCATGATAGCCATCTTATACAGGATCGAGTCCCAAAGTTAATCAGCTGTACATGTGCATCCAATGGTTACTGTTGAAAAGTTTCATTAAAATCTGTCAGTGTTTCATGAGATATTATGCTAATAGACAACAAGATTAATGCTAAAGTTTTAAGTAAAAACACAAACAATCATTAACACTTGAATTATAAGCTGTGAATGACTTTAAGCTACAACCACACCACATAGCACAATGAATGCAAAAGTGAATTATAAGTTGTTCTAACTTTGGCAACCCTCTTGAATAGGGTTGACTCCAAAAGTTAATCAGTTCTAGATGAACATCCTGTAATGTTTTCTCAAAATTTCATTCAAATCTGCTCAGTGGTTCATACAATATTTTGCTAACAGTCAGAATGAGTTGATTACAAATAGTTAAGAAGTAAACTTTTAAACACAGCTCTTGCACATTCGGTTAAAGTTCCAAATATCTATTGGGTATCAGTCTTAGCTACTACCACACAAAATTTTAGCACAAAATCTATAAAATTGACAGCGTTATTGTGTTTTGTAAGGTCAGTTACATGTGACGGCCATCTTGAATCAGGTTAGATGAAAAATTTGGTCAGTTGTACAGGTAGATGTTCATCCAATGGTTATTTTCAGCAAAGTTATTAAGAGTTGCTTAACTCATGAGATATCTAACAAAGTTAAGTCACGTCCTCTGACTGTCTGGATGGATTCCAAAAAATAAACAATTTAAAACTTTATTTTTTATTTTAAAGATTTTTTTTTTAATCCATCCAGTGGACCTGACTTAACTTTGTTAGATTTTTCTACCTGGATTATTGAGCATACATCAGGGTAACTCATGAGATATTTTGCTTATGATACAAAACACTTATCACCTTTGCCTCACAGCAGCAGACAAAAGTAATAAATATATTTTTTTAATTGCATCCTAGATGTCTCCTTGTAGTTTGTCATTCTGACAAATAAGCCCAACACATTCCGTCAGGTGTCTTTCTTAGAAGATAGTTTACTGTTTTCCACATTTAGAAGATGTAACAAGACCTCCCATTGTGATCTAAAAAGCTTTTTCTTTTCTTTTTTGACAAACTGACCTCTTTACCTGTTCTCTGCATGCTTCCTCATCAACACCGCACACACACACACACACACACACATTCCCATCATTTACATAGAGCTCGCAGTCCTTTCAAAGTGGCTTTCACGGAACATTGTGTTGATAATGATCTTCAGGGAATGAGAGACAGATCTCCAGAGACCATCTCACCATAAGACAAGGGGAAGAGGATAAAACTCTGACTGTTCTGCAACTCAAAGGACTCGAACACTTTTTTTCTTCTTCCAGCTACCCCCCCCCCCCCCCCTCTCGAATAAGCCCTCTTGTGTTTTTTAATTGGCAGAAATTAATCTTTAGGATGTAGATGGTAGATTTACATTCATTAAAAGTCAAGAGAGGAAGCCAGGCTTGATGCTAATCAAATCTGCTTAATTATGCTTAACATGAGTATCTCCAGGGGAAGAGAGAGAGGGGAGAGACAGAGGGAGATAGCTAACTCGAACTTTTTACTTTTTTGCCTTTGATAACTCCTGCTGAGTATGGCCTTTTCCTCGCCAAAAAGAAATGTCACGACTCTCTTCTTCCATCTGTAGAAAATAGGCAGATAAAGCCATCAGTGTTCAGCAGAGCTGATTTAGGTTGTAAATTCCCACCTTAACGTCTTTAATAAGTGTGAATCAGTTCAGTTTTAACTTCTCGGCTCACTTTGTTAAAGCTCGTGGCACCATCTAACTATGATATATGACAAACCCAGTTAACTTAACAACAGTGACAGAAACAAGAGGCTGATGAGTAATAAGCCACCTTTAAGAATTGTGCCTTTAACCTTGAATGCCGGGAGATAAATTAATTACATTTTGCTTTTTAGCTCATTCATCCACAATCTTGTCAGCAATCACAGTATAAAGATTGTGCGGTGTTAAAGTGACTTTGTCTCACAACAAGAAGGTCACAAATCTACCAGTCGCTGAACATGAACTCTCCACAATGAAAACTAAGGCAAAACCTTTTTTTTTTAGCTGCAAATGTAAAAATTGTTGAAGCCTTTATTCAAACTTTATTCAGACTGTGTCACACACGCAGGCTCTTATAGCCCTGCAACATGTTTCTCCTCTTGTCTTGAACATCAGCAGTTTTAACATAGGCTTATCTGAATTGCATCATTATTGCTTGTCACAGGCAAAGGCAATTAATAATGATACATTTGCATGTGTTTGTGTTAGCCAAAAATCTCAAATTGCCGGACAAATTGTAAGAAAACTTTCAGAAAATACTTCTTTTTTAAACATCTACAACTAACTTTTGTAGTAAACCTGATTCACAATGGATGCCATGGCCAACTAACTGTAAAACCACAAAAATGGCTAAAACGCAGTCAGTTTGACAGAGACTGACCTAAAGATCACTGTGGTAGTAGCTGAGACCGATCCCAAACGCATGTTTTGAGCATTAACAACACCTTCAAAATATTACCATTAATTATCTTGAATCAATTTTGTTTGTCTATTAGCTACTTCATAAACCACTGGTTGATTTTTAACGAACCTTATCAGAAATAAATATTGAATGTACATTTACAACTGATTAACGTTTGGAGTCAACCCAGTTCAAGTTGCCACAACTAACCAACATTAGCCAACACATAAATGACCATATCTCAGTCAGTTTAACATTTATTGTGCTAAAATTTGATGTTTTTGTAGCTTAGAGTCACTCACAGACTCCAAGTGATACTCATTAGGCAAGTTCTTTGCTTTAAATTTTAGCATTAACAGTTGAGATCAACACTTATTGTGTGTTAGCAAAATATTTTACTCACCACTGAATGGACTTTAATAAATCTTTCCAAAAGTAATCAATGGATGTACAGTAGTCACTCGATACTTAACGGTTCGACTTTGGCGGGCTCACTCTTTCGCGGGTTTTCAATGCAAGATTGGACACAACACACGATTGGCTGACTGATGGAAGGCGACCAACCAGAGCATTGTGCTGAGGGCCGGACTGGCCATCGGGAGCACCGGGACATTTCCTGGTGGCCTGGCCCACTCAGTGATCACTGAGGGGCCCCCCTCCTTTCTCTTTCTGAGGATGTCTATCACAGCAGAGCAGAGACACACAACAGGCAGGCATGCAACAACACTGGGGGGGGAGTCTGTCTTATAACTGAGTGAGCCACACAAGCAGCATGGATTGTTTATTTAAAATAATCAAGCACGACCCGAACTGACCTTTAGTCCCCTTTGGCGATCACTGAGCGGGCCAGGCCACCGGGAAATGCCCCAGTGGTCTCGATGGCCAGTCCGCCCCCGGGCACTGGTTGGTTCAGTTACTCTGCTATCCTTTGATGTGCTCTTTGAGAGAGTTTAGAACATTGTTAAGAATACTGCAAGAGTGTGATGGGTGATCACTGAGTAGGCTAGGCCACCAGGAAATGTCCTGCTGCTCCCGATGGCCAGTCCAGCCCTCAGCACAATGCTCTGGTTGGTCCAAAGCCTTAAAATATATATAAA